ATGAGAAGCACTTTAGAATCTGGCCTTCGGACACCACGACTCTAAGAATGGTTTAGTAACTGTAACCTATTTCAAACTCATACCGGAGTCTTTCTTCCTATACAGCCAGTATTTTTATCTATTCTATTTCCAACTGTCTGTTTCAAAAGCTCTCTCAAGGAAGTTTTCTCTTAAGTCTATCTAATTACTACCAGGTGGCCCTGCCTCGTTCCACCCAAATAATTCCTGTTGGTATTTATATACTATAATTGTGGACATTTATCACTGGCAGTTCTCTGGGCAGTCTTCTGACTCAGGCAGCAGAATGTACCCCATGTTTGGCATTTGCTCTGCTTCGTACATTTGCAAAGCACTAAACAACTATTCATTACCTGTACTTGGCAGCTGCCCAAAAACCTCGAGCTTTTCAAGTAGCTTTTCAAGTCCTCATGAGGGTGGGAATGCCCTTAAAGCAGCAGTCCCAGGGGCCAGGATTCACATTAACTCCTGCTGCAGTTGAAGTGCTTCTGAGTACTTTTGAACAGCTCAGAGTCCTAGAAAGACAGCAATGCAATTCCTGTCCCTTCACGGTGGGTGCCTTAGAGACAGAGGTCATAGAATCACAGAATCATTTGAGTTGAAAGGGTCCCCCTAAAGTCCATCTGGTCCAACCCATCTGCAACGAACAGCGAAACCCACAGCTCCATCAGGTGCTCAGAGCCCATCCAGCCTGACCTTGCCTGTCATCAGTGTCAGGCCACCACCTCTCCGGGCAGCCTGTGCCAGTGCCTCACTGCCCTTACTGTAACAAGTCTCAGCTTGGGCTCCGTTACAGGACTACAGAGCTCCAATCAGAGTAAGCTCCAATCTGCCTAGAAGAGATTAAGCAGGAAAATACGCTGCTTACCATTACCTCAGGCAAATGCTGTGGTTGCTTTCTGCTTTACCTTCTTCCAAACAGTCATAAACCTAGAAGCCTTTGCAGCATGGTTGAAAAATGGAAAATGTACAGAAAAACCTTCAGAAGAATCCTTCAGGTAATCAGTTGTAGGAAATGAGCTTGTCTTTCAGTTTAACATTTTCTGTTTTGCAGAATTCATGTATTTTTTATTGCTGTTGTTGAGTGAAATAGCTGAATGTTTTCAGGGAAAAGCCCTTCTTTCCCTCTCCAGATTCTGTGCATTTCAGGAGGCACAAGATAAATCACAGATGAAGAGACCCGTTTAGGTGCTGTTTTCCCCAAGAAAATTATCACCCAGTCTACCCTTGCTGGCTGGAATCCAAGAGATTCAAGAGGGTGCAAGCAGTGGGAAACTCCCAGCAGAGACCTCAGGGCAGAGCATTTGGTGTAGCAGTGGGGGGGAGGGGTGGGATGGACTCAGCAAACAAATAGCACACACAGTGCTTAGAAATTAAACCAGTAAACAAATGCAAAGCATCGTGCAAGAAAGTACAGAAAGAAGACAGGGCTGGTAAATGGCTGAAACACAATTTGGCTTGATGTGTTTTTCTGGTTTTGCACTGCTGCCTTCTCATGTCTTCAATGAAGTGTCACGTATAATTACTGTTAATAACAACATACAACTTTGCCGTGGTTAGTGCATCAGAAAGAAAAATCTGAAAGTCTTCTTTCAAGAACAAACGTATTTGATAAATCAGCAATGATTAAATTTAGCCTTAATTACAGATGATTTTTAGTCATCAAAGCACAGGTAGCTTTGCTAATACAAGTCGCAACATTCATTTAAAGGAGTGCGTGTTGCTAACAAAGAGGATCTGTGAAACAATTTATACTATTTTATACTTAACTGCCCTTTGCAAAAGGAGAGCTGATGAGGGCAGTGCCTAGAAACACCAAAAGGCCAAAATGCTCAAATATTCAGGGATGTGGTTTAGTGGGTTTGGTCATGATGGGCTGATGGTTGGACTGGATGATCTCAGAGTCCTTTCCAACCTTAATGATTCTGTGATTTTATTTGTTTGAAGGGGGAACTCAGATTCAAGCACTTGGTCTGAGAGAGAGAGCAGAAACCTGAACTTGCATTTCACATTGCTTCAGTGAAATCTTGAGTACCAAAATGTTTCTGAGCACAAAATAAATTAAAAAAATAAATACACCCTGGACTTCAGAACTTTTTCTGACTCAGATTTCAGCATAGCTGTTACGCTTCTAAGGAACACTGAGGTTGTGACAAGTCTGAGTCTCTCACTGACTACTAATTTGGTTGAAAAAGTTCATCTCACTCTAGTTAAAATCTTCTTAGTTCCACCCCAGTGTGTTAATTTTATGCTCTGTCACAAACTTCAGAACAACTTTCGGGCAGTCATTTTCTGCATATCTATTTTCTCAGTATGGTGCAGTAATTTTCCTTCTCTGTGAACTTCTCAGAGAAATAGCTGGTCTGCAATTGCGACAATAGATCATATCTTCCTTCTCACATCTCAGGTTGCTACTGCAATGAAGTTTGGGAGTACTCAACACAGGAAAGAAACTATTTGCTGACGGAGAAATCAGCGCTGTTCAGTCTGAGCTCCTGGTCTGAACACTACAAAAGTAATTTTGGATACGCTGTGATCCCGCAGATTGCACAACACAACTCCCAGTAGCTTTAGCATCCCAGCAGTCACACCCATTCCTCCAGAGCTCGGGTAAGTCAGCAGAGCAATAACCTTCCCAGCTCCTATCATGAGGATGTACCGACTTACACGAACTTCAGCAGAGCACACAGCAAAGCACGTGAGAACACCACGCACAGCCCAAATATCTGTTCACCCACTGAATCATAACCTGCTGGCCTTCCATATCTCCACAGTGCTGCAAGCTATTGCATAATTCATTCAGAGCTACGGTGCAACTTGCTTTATTGATTCTGGATTTAATACTGGCTCCGGCGGAGGGAAGGGTCAGATAACGATTACTTAGGGCTCCACAGAGACCCCACAAAGCTAAGTTAAATAACACAGTGAGTCATTCAATGCACTTGCCCCTTAATCTCTGCCTGTGGCCACTGCTCCTCTCACACAAGCTCTGTCAACAAAGAGGGATTGTTGCACCTCTGGGCACACGGGTGCTGCCTCTCTGAGAGCATGTGCATAAGGAGGAAGAATGACTCTGTTTTTGTTTTCCTATTGCTATGCTGGTAACTTCTTCACCATTTTCTGTGAGAAAGTACTTAAATCAGTGGTGCGCCTGAAGATGAAATTCATAGACAGAGGCTGTGCAGTACATTTTAAAATAAGCCATTACTAAAAAGAGATGATAAAAAAAAAAATGAAATAGATCTGCCCCGCACTTGCAATCTACTTCTACAATCTTTTTAGTGAAAACAGATGATTTAATAGCCATTTTGTATAAGCAGCAATACAGCTCCTACAGAATCCAACTTGTATTTGGTAATTCTCACATCCCATCACCAGTGTCCTTAAGCAGCTTTCAGATGCAGTACCAAACTCCATTGCTCTCTGAAACACCTTTACATACCCTTGGAGACTGCTGGTATTGCAGAGTTACTGCTGAAGGCAAAGGGTGAATTGAAGAGAATCACCTTGATCAAAGTACTGCATGGGATTTGTCCAGCAGGATTTCAGTAGCACCCGATGCAAGCTGTACCAGTCAGCCTTGTCATCCCAGCTGTTTCTCATGCATTGCTTTTTTATTAATAAAGCTATCAATTAAAATAGTTACTGACAACTAAGCACAGATCTCACTTATCATAACACTTTGTAGTTTTTTTTCTACCTAAGAAGGCAGAACAAAGCTTTGAATGCGCCACTCCAAGCCGACTCTCACCTCCTCAGCACCACCTCACTCCTAAGGCAATACTACCATTAAAATGTTAGTCAATAACTCCATGCTCAGCGAGGGTTTGGGTCAGACACCTACATATGCCTCATTGTTATAGATGAAGTGATTTGAGCTTGTAGTACAGCTATCAGGTTTTAAAATGCAAATGAAAGAGTGATATTACAAAGCCTGCCAAGAGAAAAACTGAATCAGACTTCCCAATTCCTAATGTTCAGACTAAGCCTCATCTTCTTGCCTATCTGGGTCTAATAACTTTGTAAATATACCAGAAAGTGAGATAATTATACTTGGGAAGATGTAGAGAAATCCACCAAGTACAGTACTGACCTTTGAAGGTTTTTTTCTCCTGCAAGTACCTGGTTCCATTCCCTGCTCTAAATCTGTGAGTAAGAGATTTGTCAGGAATTTTGTCTCCCATGAGCCCATATCAGAACAAGAGAGCAGGTCTACCTGCCCATTCAGAAGCTTCGACAACAGCTGCTGGGAAGAGATGCAGGTTTCTTTAACTCTGATGGTAAATTAAAAGAAGTTGTGCATTTGAGGGCTGCTTTTGGTTCCTTGGGAACAGAAGATGCAGTAGGAAGTGTCACATCCTCCAAACACATCACCCTGCTCTTCTGCTCCTGAGTGTGCCTTCCCAAAGGATGAGAACAGCTTTGTGAAGTGAAAACCAGACTTTGAGAGACCAGCTCCAGCTCTTGGCCTCTAGGTTTGATACCTGAAGCACAGGAGGTGTCATGCATGGGTTTGTGTGCAAAGACAATCAACATGCTGTCCTCAGTCCTCCTTCCTGCTTCAAAGTGTTTGCATGCCAAGGCACCCAGTTACTGGAGGCAAACATCAGTGGAGGGCTAATCCATGCTAATCCTTGGCCATGTGGACGAATGACATCTATCAACAACAGGTGCACTGATGTGGCTAGAGGAATGGGAACATGAAGCAATAAGTGTGCAGCTTTCTTTGTGACCAAGTTGTTGCTTTCATAAAATAGCTGCTTCTCCAACATAAGGCTCACATCATAGGGATGCTAAAGCACTCAACTGATGATAATCTCAGCACTTCATTCACTGTAAATAACCAGGTTTGGGTAGCAAGTTCAAGGCTTACAGAGAAAAGCTGGAAGCTGAGATTTTGCTACTCACTGAGCACACCTGTAGAAGTAATGCAGACCTAGAGCAGCGATTGCAATAAGGTTTTTTATTGAAAAGAGATGAAATTTTAACGTAACAAAGAGAAAGCAGAACCCGCAGTCCATTGTGTGTGATTGCTGTAACAATTTGGTTTACCTTTTCCATCTTAAATGGAGCTCTTTCTTGCTTCCTGAGGTACAAGTGAGATGCTGGAATTGTCTGTATCGCTCCGTGATTCTCCAGGGACACATTAGAAAAGTCTTTGGTAATCAGCTCCACTGAAAAGCAAATGGAAGCGTCTTGGAGTCACTATTATATTATAAAGGAGCCACAGTTTAGGAAGACTGGAATTACTTTATTAAACAGAAAAACACGGTCTATTTAGTAATTCTACCTATTTTAAAATTCAGTCATTTTCTGAAATAGTATTTCCTTTGTTAATTAGAATATTTTAAGGGGTCTAGGAAGAATTAAGTATTGCTTTTTCTATTTTTCAGTTAACCTTAAGCTATCCCATTTCCTTCCTCGTGACTTGATTGTAAAGGATATTATACACTTCATCTTGAAATAAAATGAAAATAAAACTAAGAAGTGTTTGCTTGAGCATTTGCACCAGGTAAGACTACAGCCTGCCTGCAACTGCAGCTAATGCAAATATATTTCTGATCAGTATTATTCCCTCACATCATGTATTGCCATTTGGTGAATCTTGACATAACCATAAACAAATACAAAGGGAGTCCATCCTGTTAGTGAAACTTCTAAATCCCACAACAACTCATGGAAATAAACAAATGCATAGCAACCCTCTCTGCATACACAAATCAATTATCAGGGTGCTACTTGGCAGATGGGGTACTTCCCAAGACAAAGGATATAAGCTTCCACTGAAAATACAGCCCTACATATAGCATGAGCTTTTTAAGTGCTGGATTGAAATTTAATGCATATTCAGAATACAGTCACTAAAATGAAAATGAATTATCCAACTCTTACTCTCAAGAAAACTTTTCAGTTTCTTCCATCTTCAGAGGTTACAACTGAGTATTTGTATCTTATGTAGGCCAGCTGAATAAGCAGCGTTAGCAAGGTGGAAGCCTATATCAACACAAAAGCCTATGCATTTTTATTAGTATTAGGAAGGGGAACAGGAGGCCATGACAGCAAAGCTTTCTTTACAGCCAAGTCGCTGCTCTGAAAGAATAGCTTCTGCTGTAACATGATGTTCACAACAAAGGGATGCTAATGCACTCAATTGATGCAACACTCAACACTTGATTCGTAATAAGCAGGTTTGGGTAACAAGGGCTTACACGAAAGGCAAACAGCAGCAGCACAGAGCAAGCCGCTCTGGTTTGCTTTTCAGGCATTCATTCACCTCCTTAACTCTACATTTATACTTACATGTTCCAGGAGGATAAAGTGGCTCTCGCGTGTCTCATCTGCACCTTGTAGGTAACTGCCAAAGAGCTGAGAAATTGCAATTCTTTCTCACTTTCTGCCACACACTTATGTCTTCAAACTTGTCACTTCTTTCTCCTGAGAGGCTTTTTCTAACCTCTTGCTCCTATCAAACACATAAATAAAATCAATGGCAGAAGCAGGGGCTTTTCAAGCACTGGAAAAGGAAAGCTATGAATTTTCTGTCATCATCAGCTGTTGATGATTGATGATTGACTTGGCTCACTGTACACCAAGCATGATAGCTTTCAGTTGAAGTCAGCTTATTCCCACATTCAGTGTATACATACTCACCCCACACCATCATTTCTTCTCATTTCATTTAGAAATTAATCTCTCTAGTTTTCTTCTATGTTGAGAAATTAAGAAAAAACAAAATGGGACATTATTTTCAATACTATTTTGATGTTCCAACACACACTGCAAGCTTGCTCAACTGTCACACTGGGTAGCAACTCTGCATGTTTTCAAATACTGGAAGTTTTCAGACCTTGATGGAAACATTGCAGCTGACAAATGACCAAATGTAGCTGGCCAATGGCCAGCCCCAGCTCTGCTGGATGGCTTGCTTCCGACAAGCAGCAAGAGCAAGCTTTGTTGGTTGAGAACCTTTCCCAGGCATTTCATTTCTTTGACAACCCTACTGCTTGTCCCAAAATTCAGAGCTTAACCAAACCGCACCTGCATTAGTCTCCTTTCTGGAACAGGATGTTTCAGCGTTTTGCAATTCCCATTAAATCCACAAACATGTTGGCTCCCGGCACTGCTACATTTATGTGTTGTGCAGCCTGGATTGCTGACAAACCCAGAGTTGGGTAAAACTCTACAAACACGCAAAGGCTGCAGCCAGAACAGCAGCGTGGCAAATTCTCCTTTATGGGTTACATCCAAAAGTATTCTTCCACTGCACAGGAACAGAGCACAGAAGCAGCAAAGAAAGTAATGAATGAAGTGAAGACCAAAGGTAGCTAACATTAGTTGCAATAGATTGCAAGTTGAAACACACCTGACTTTTTTTTCCAAAGCAAACCATCTTCTCTTATAAAGGAATTCTTGTATCGTTTTTAAGTTCTAATGGTTTGCCTAGAACTCAAGATCAGTACAAAAGAAAAAAAATAATCAATTATTTGCTACAGATGGCCACTGGAATCAGTGGCAGCTGTGATATGGATGGGGAGATTACAGCAGCATGGCATTTTACCCATCTTGTTAGTTAGAGATTATACTGCATTAGATGATATTAAGAGTGTGGAGGGAATGAGAGCCCAGCTAAGACAGTGATGTATAGTGGAGTTGGATGAGCTAATTTTAGGCCATTTAAGCTCAGAAACTGGCAGCAATTTCTTCCTGAGATCTCAGTTAAAACTAATTTACCTTGAATCATGTGCTTCACTCATCCTGCAGATCACCAAAATGTAAAACTATCATGCACTTAGAGGATGAAAAAATGCCATGCTAGTTCCTGCAGGTTACATAAAAACACTTTTAGAAGCTGTAGTGCCAAGAGGACATGACTTGCATTTTTAGGCTTATGAACGCTCTTCCAAAGTAATTAAAAATGACATGCCCTATTAAATCACTTATAACAGACTATAACAAAGCATATGATGCAGAGTTTGCTTGAAGAAACCAATTATGCAGTACAGCTCGGTACAAGGCCAAAGCTTCAAAGCAATTTTCAGATTTCATGGATTACATATGCTTCAGAAAAGGATATTTTTTTTTTTTTTTTAAAGCACAAGGAAGATGCACTGAAAATATGATGCAATATTTTCCACTTCATTTTTTTTGTTACTCTCAATAAGAAGTCTATTACAAATCTCATCTCTGGCACAAATATTTACAAATAAGAGGGGAGCATTTTGAAGGGGACAGGCTTGTCTTTGTAATTAACTTTGGTCTAAGTAAAGCATGGGTGGCAATGATGGGTGGCATGCAGCTTCGGTGTTGCACATCTACTCCTGCCAAAGAATGCTACTGATAGAATTCAGGCGTAGGACCCACTTCAAGTCTTGGTATGTAGCTACTCCAGCATACTTGAAAGATCACGGGTTCTAACAGCATGTACCTCATGAAACATTTAAGGTTTTCTTCCACTGTCTCAAACATTTTGGATATACATACACTTAACAATAAGTCTCTTCTGATTATTATTATTTTTTTTTTTTCTAAGAAACCATTTATATAGTAACATTGTCCTTAAAGAATCACATCAATTCCTTGAAATTCAACCAAACTATTTCATCTCCACATCAACACTTGTAAAGTGTCTGCGCTATGCCTACCGATTCTCCATTCAAGGATTCAAAGATGAACAAAAATGGAATATTTGGGTGAAAACGGAGATGCGTGAGAACCCTGGTAAGCCTGTGACATATGCAAACAGATCTTTTTATTCTAAAATTTAGCTTTTTAAAATAATTTTTTTAAAGTCTTATCATATATTGGTAATAATTCACAAGGAAGATAAAGAATACTTCCATCTCCAATTATGATAACACCAATAGAGAACAGACACATTGCAGGATAAAGAAGGAATTGTTGTAATGACAAAAAGATTAGAAGGCGATGTTGGCTTTTAGCCAGAGGGCTTGTTAAATCTGTAAAGAAGTTTCAAAATGCCCAAGACCATAGCAATTTATTTTTTCTTTAAATAATGAAAGATCTTGCCTTGTCCTGATAATAATCACAACAAAAGCAAAAGACTCTTGATATTTTTTCAGTGTTTAATGTTGGTTTTGACAGTAACTATCAGACACTCATTGCTATTAGTGGAGACGAAATCTGGGCTGCCTAAAGCATAAGCGTATCAGGAACACTTCCACTCAGACCTCTGAGAGGCATAAGTTTATGGCAGATGACAGGCAATTAAAAGCAATGACATCTTATTATAAGGAGTAGAGATAATAATTGAAAAATACAAACATGCTTGGAGTTGGGGCAAACCGAGTTCAGTTGCCGAACAGCCAAACACCTTCATCAGCTAAGCTTGGTAACCTGCTGTTTCTGCTGTCCCAGAAAATGAATCTTGGTCATCCTTTCATAAAAAAAGCTTTTGGAAAATCAAATGTTAATTTGTAAATGTGAAGAATTTGACTTGCTTTGTTGCTAGAGTTGAAGACGTTCTAGCACCTTATTCAGATTCCATTCATATTTGTATGAGTTAAAGCTAAAGTTAATAACATACATCTCTTTGGCTTCAAGTATTTATAGACTCACTAGGAGCTTTATTTTTGAAAATAAAAAGATAAAATGACTGAAGATGACCAATTCCAACAGCTGCTCCTCTGCCCATACCATCTTGAAAAGACTAGAAGTAATACCAAAGCTACAAGGTTAATACAGGGTAGCTCACAACTCAGTACAAACTTTGGGATTACTGCGATATATATTTTTTTTAAATTTTATTGTTATTTTCCAAGATACTTGTGCTGGTTTTGATAAAGAGACATGTCAGATGATGGCTGTACTCCTATTGCATTACAATTAGCATATACGCTACAGTAAAATACGTAAAGTGCATTATAAAAGTCTTATTGATCTCCTTTTACAACAGCAATAGAACTTTCTTCTATCAGTGATTTATCCCATCTTCCCAAATCCTAGCAAATAACTCAGAACTCACTGCTATGTGCTGAAATGACAACATGAAGAATAGCTCTGGTGTGTAAAAGCATCTAAGAATTATTACTTGGCCTTTGAAACCAAATGCCCTAATCATCTAGAGTCCAATCCATGATTCTCAGAAAGCCATAAAGCTTTTAAACATTCGTTCTATGCTTCAAAGAGTTACATCTCAGGAATTTCCAGGGCAAGTCCTTGAATTCCCTGCACTGGTAGCATTCGCCTCCCAAAGTTCTAAAATTAACTTGGTTGCATTTTAATAGATTTTAGATCTGGACATTTTTAATGCACCAAAAAAGATAGCTTTGGATCGAGTATTATCTGCTTAATATGTAAAGACTATTAGTGTAATATGGGATAAGGAGAAGTCTCCCATGTCTGGCTGATCTGTAATCAGAACTAGATTACAGCTTTTAGGACTGAGAGGCAAAACTGGAAAGTGTGCATAAACATCTCCACTCTGCTATTGATTCTAAAACTCTCCCAGATTCTACAGACAGCCTTAGGAAATCGTTACCTTAAGATGCAGGGTGCTCTCTTGCCTTTACGACTCTAATTTCTCTCATAACGAGATCATAACCAGGTAGAACACAATGAGCATCAACACAAGTGACTACGATTTTGAGCAAGCAGATCTCTTCATACTTATGTACCTTTTTAAACTCAGCCCAACACTTAGTAGAAACTTATCTGTGTAAGTAAAAACATATCTGTCATTTAAAAAATAATGGCTTTTAAATACTCCACATTCTACTGAGAGTTCAAAATAGCCTTACATTGCAGACAGATCATTTCCTATTTGCAGTGTTAAACAGCAATTCTATTTACTTGCTGTAAATGAAAAAACAATGAAAGTTTAGGTATGTTTTCACCCCAGGATCATACAGAGACAGGTGTGATCCCTAATCATATTCAATGGATCCAATGCAGCTGGCCCAGATGAGTCCACCATGCTCAGTGGAGCAGAAAACAGTTTCTGCATGCTTCTCACACCCCCAAACTGGATAAGACAAGCAGATCTCCCTTCCCTCTCACGTTACCCCTTTTCCCTCCTCCCCCTCCCCAACATGAGGACCTGAATGTGTTCCACCAAATTTTAAGGAACAGTTTTGTGAGAAACCTTAGATGTGTCATTTGACAAAATGCACTGCTCTTCCTCAGAGAAGCAATCCACATTCCCTTCTTGCTCACTTTATCAGCCTCTGCTCTGGCAGAGATGAAAATACAGAAAGGCTTCATCATAAGATCAGAAACAGAACAGCAGTAAGACGAGTTAATTGCTTTGGTTCCCAAAACAATTATTAATTCTTAACAACAAAATCAGCTGGAGGCTTTCATTAAAAATGCTGCAGCTATTTGGTATCGTTTTCCTGCTGCCTGAAGGTCAGAAGGTACAGTCCAATCTACCAGATTCATAGGCTTCCCCACCACCTAGAAAATATTTTACCTTCATAGCGTACAACACAGAAATGGAATCCCTGCCCACTCACCCACCTCAATCCAGGTAACAGAAAGAGATTGCAGCTCAGGCAAGTGATCTTGGTGTAAAATATCCATCTCATTTTTCAACTGTTATGCATCTCGCTGTTCATTTGGTGCTCATTGAAAACACTTTCCTTTTTTAAAAAAGAAATCAAAAGATTTGAAACGTGCTACTCTGTGAATTTTGGCAAGTTCTGAGTATGAGATAATATTTTACCTACTGCACCTCTCATTATAAAATACAGCCTATCCTCTGCTTTGGAAAACTTGCCTCCTTTTCCACATGGATTCATTCAAAAAGCAGTAAAATATCTAAAGATGAATTTGCCCCCCTTTTATTTTAATTAAGACAACTGAATTTTTCCTATTGTGGTCTCTTCAGAGAGATAACAGATGTCTCCAATAGGTTTGTCTCCAAAGGTTTCACAAAAATGAGAAGAAAAATGAAAGCCTTACTCTCCATCAGGATTCTAATTTTGTACTTCATCAGGACTTATCCTCATTTTTGGAAATGTTATCACAATCCTCCTTTCTGCATCTGTTTGGTACTACAGCATAAACTAATTTGGATTTATTACTGTTGCAGTAACCACTCAAACAGACCCTTGTGAGATAAAGGTTTGCTGATGCGCTTTGGTTTTGCCCATATGATTCACTTCAGCATATGCAGACATATGGTTTGACAGTGCGATAATTTGGAAGCAGCGAAGATAGTAAACACCTGTTTTGCTTTGAGTAAAACCAGCACTCAGGAACTGGCACTAGAAACACTGCCCTGTTTATGATTTTTAAGTTAGACTATGCCTTTCTTTTTGAGATAACCTGTGGCTTCATAAATCAGAACCATTGGTTATTTATTCAGCACAGATCCTATGAAGGTTTAAACAATGTGCTACACACTGCATGAGAGCAGGATGTTCCTTCAGGATGTGTTCTGCAGGTCTGACAGATGAGCTGTAGACCTTTCAAACAGAATAATTCTACTACTTGCACTGAATGCTGACCCTCTGAAGAGAAATACCTTGGGAAAAAAACCTGCTTTTAATGGCTACTTGATCTCATCTAAGAAAACAAGAAAAAGAAGCAACAACTGAGGCTGAAGTAAGGCTCTGTGCATTAATCTGTACGTAGCTCACACTGGCATCCTGAATTCAGTGTAACACAAATTAGTGATAAAGAGCATAGGCTATCATTTAGGTTTTTTCCCCCCAGTAGGTATGAACTCCTCAAATTAAAGGCTACAATTTTCCATGTTGTAATATTTAATGAATGCATTTAAAGTACCATTTCTCTAATAAAGGATGACTTTGGAAACCACAAGAATGAAAAAACAATTTACCATAAGAATTATCCTGACATTTTAATATTTCACTTTGAAAATCATTTAGTTTTAACTATATGTTGCTATTTTTGCTAGCTGGAAAAATGATTTTGGTCTTCAGAATATTAATCATCTACTTACAGCACAGAAGCAATTAAAAAGCAGGAGGGTGAGCACTCCATAGGTTAGCCCACCTTCACCAGAAGCAGCAGTGATGTGCAAAAATCCATGGTTCTGACTCCATTAATGCTGTGAAAAGAACCACAGCGCTGATCAGACATGAAGATGGTCCCTCTCTACTGCATTGTATGATTCACCCCCAGACACAAAGGGAGTTAGATGACAACTGGACTTCAGTAAGTCTTTACTCTTATGGTCTGCCTTCCTTACTTCTGTTTTCTTCAGCTATTAAATCTCCAAACCAACCCAAATAAACAAAAAAAACCCAACAAACCAAACGCAGAAAACCAACCCCAAGCAAAGCAATGTAACATTAACAACAGAATGCACTAGTGTGAGCAACTAACCCAGCTTACTTATGTTAGGCTTAAAGATGATAGTGCTTTTTTTTAAATCTCATTTTGGTATATACAAAAATCACCAGTGGCGATTTTACTTAGTGGTAACAAAGCGTGCTGAAACCCACTGCATTTTGCAGAACAGGAAAAAGAACAACAAAGATAAGGAAAGCATGCTCAAACTATTCAAGAACTCATCTTTAGAACTTTCTGAATTTTGAGATATGATGAGTTCTTAAACCCTGACCAACAAAGCTGTCCTCCCTTCCTAGTTTACTGGGACAAAGTAACACAATCCACAGCTTTTAGGAGCAATCTATGCTTGCTGTCACACACCACTAGAATGAATTGCAAGGATAGTTATTACAAATATCATCTTTTGAAACACTGGGGTAATGCACAGACACTGTGGCACCAAGTGCTCTGCCCTGCCTTTTTGAGGGCAGTAGGGGACAACAGGAAAAGTGCCAATTTCCTAACAGCTCAAAAACATTGACTGCTTATTTGCACCTGATATTAAAACAAGCAATTCAAGACAAAAGTGCAAATCTAAGTGCCTGAGCACACTCCCTCCCCCTTACTGCAACACCAATAAAGGGGAGCTATCTGTATTCGGTGCTTACATAATCACCTCTCATTTCTTCAGTAGCTCCTCCCTCAGCTCTCTCCTCACTTAGGCCACAGATCTGCTTGTCACAGACAGCATTTTCTGTATGGAGAACGCACAAGAACTCAGGACTATCTGGATGCTAAATCGAAACATCTTAAAGCTCCTCAGCACGTGGCTCAATTCCATTCTGCATGTGTCTTACTGAATCTTCCTTTAAACTGCCTGTGTGCAATGATCTCTTTTCAGAGACTACAGCAAAAAAACCCAGCAGTATGATGAATGAGAATCACACAGCTAAATCCCAAATCACAGCTCTATAAATGAGCTTGCAGCCTCTTCTATTTGCACAGCTAACCTTGTCTACACACTCTATTTCACATATTTTACTGTATTCTCCCTCAAATTGGATTTTTTACTTCATTTATGCATTACTATTAACCTCCTTCTTGACAAAAGATTGCTGTTTCATTACCTTCTGCTATATGTCAGCTTTACCTAGTGAACTTTCAGCCAGAGTCCAAAGGCTAGAAAGTGAACAAAAATTGCTGTAGTTCAGCAATGAAAAGACCAATTGCTTAATTTAGGGTTAAGCCTTGCATAAAATCATAGAATACAAGAAAAATGTGCCAGTCAATAGCAGAGCAATTTTTTTTAAACAACATTATTATACTAAAAAAAATGAAATAGACATACCATTCTTTATTAGTCTCATAGCACTTGCTTATGTAGCTAGCTGTTCTATTATATTTATCTCATTTTCACTCTGGACAGAAGCATATGCTAGCTGCATGAAAGATCATCAGCATCCCTCATGTTAATCTCTGTTCTTTCACACTGAGGGCAACAGAAAGGAACCAATAACTTTGGATCCCATCATTTGTTGCATCTAATCAGACTAATTGAATTATCTAATTCATCTAATTGGAATTGAAGCCCTTCGAACTAAGCTTTCCACTCTTAAAAGCAGTCACAGAAACTATTTAGCATACAAAACTTCACCAGAATATGAATGCTATTGTACTTCCTTGAAAATCCTGCTTCCTCTCTGCAAAGAAGTCAATACATTATGTAAACAAATAGCTTGATATAAATATGATCTCCCCTGAAAAGTTCACATTTGCTCCTGTAAAACAGTATTGAGCAGTCAAAGCAAAAACATTTAACATTAATGTGATGCATTAGCAAAACTCCAAACACACCTCAGCAGAAGATATTCAGTTCAGAAGTTTATCTGCAAATATTTATCTAGAACAATTATTCTTTCAGATCCTCTGTAGATAATGGATCCCCAAACAGGTAATTGTCCTTAGGGCTCCTCAATCACATGACAGAAGTACTACAGCTGAATTAAGCAGAAATAAAACACATTAGGCTCAGGCCACAGAACAGATGCAGAGATCAGAGACGTAACATTTTGTCTTTTCTGAGGGAAATGAATCATGGCACCTGTAAGGAGGTCAGAATACATAACCCAACTTCAGCTTGCACGGAGAGCAATTTGTTCCATGACAGGTTTAGCCAGTGTTTGCATGCTAAAGCAATTGTTAAGTGCAATGTGTAAGAGATAATCATAATGAAATAGGTTAATGCATTGCTTCTTTCCTACAGCCTCTAACACACTGGATTTTTAATCACACTACAAACACTCAGATACATTTGTAGCAGTTCAGAAAGGAAGTAGAAAACTATTATTGCCTCAAGTTAAAAACCTTTTTTTTTTTTTTCCCCTTTTCTTTTTAAGAAGTGGAGCAATAGCTGGAGAAAAAAGTTTGTTCTGATCAATTTCACATCTACTGGTTAATTGTTTTTGAAGACAAAACTCAGATCAGTTGCTAGTGAAGTTACTACAAGACCAAGAAGGTACGTGTTTTAAATTCTCTTAGTTTATAAGAATGTGAAGAATATGGAAAGGTAAATTCATGAATTTAGTTTCTTGTAGGGCCTCTAGAATGCAACTGCTGGTGATCAGCCTGAAAGAGACCTGCAAAAAGCTCCTTGCCAATGACACTGTTCTTAACACATCCTGTTTTATAACTTTAAAACCCTGTGCAACAGTAACCAATCTCCTCAACACTCTTGCAATATATGCTTATCCACAGAGAGGTTAAGTAACTGGCAGTAAGACAAAGCAGCTCTAACCTTTACTGTCACTGCCACAAACCCTAACCTAAGTAGAAGACATCAACAGTTTAAAGATGCGTATTTCCTGTTGATTGAGGTCTGGATCAGGCAGGTGAACTTCCTGAGAAGTCTGATCTAAACTGCATGCAGTGTCTCAATAGCAGACTCCTAGGCTTCTTAATTTAGCAACTCAACTCCTTTACCAAAGAAGCTTGAAGGGAAGGGTGTGGTTCCACCATGCTTCATCCAACGTGGGAGGCAGTTGGCTTGTTTCCCAAAGTTTCTTCTCCACCTCCCTGGCTCTGCAAGATGTGGGATTTTGTGGACACATTGATCTGGCAATCAAAGAGCACTTCTAATCATCTTCCAGAGGAACAATACTTCTAAAAACTTGTTCCATAGCCAAGAGGAGGGCAGGGATTGTCAAAGATAAAAAAAAAATGTTTCAAGAGTAATAGAAATACAGTGAGGAGATGACAGCTGTAACTGATGGAAAGTGACAGAGGAATGAAAATTGGGGCAGTTTTGGAGGTGCTTGTTCCAGGTTAAGTATGGACACATTTTGGGGATAGACACTGCAAGAGCCTCATATTTTACATGGTAGACAAATTCGTCTGGACAGATTGAAGGAAGTTCTGCCTATGGAATAATGGAGTACACAGTAAAATCTTTGTTTCCCAGTCCACTTGCTTACTATGTATACCCAAAAAGAGATGGAATGGATGGAGCAGATGCACCAGCTGGCAACAAACTTTGCCAACTTAGCCTCAGCATAAGGTTTTACTGAGACTGATGAAAAATCCCACACAAAACCAAACCTTCCTTTCTTCCCCTCACCTACCCCCCCAATTTCTTCTCTTCTGCCCAACCTTTGCCTTCCCTTCCTGCCAATGCATTCCACTGGCACATGACTTCCACTCAGTTACCACCAGCAGTAGCTCAGACCCCATCAGTGCTCTAAATCACCCTTCGCCCACAAGCTATGCGAGCCCAAGTCAGAGCAAGTCAGAAGGAAGATTACATAAAGCCAGGTATCTGTGCCAGGTATCCAGGAACCACATTTCTTACAAGGCTGGCATGTTTCAGCACCTTCTTGCTTCTACCCACAACTCAGCTTTAGTTAAGAGCAAACAGCAACAAAAATAAATATTACTTAAATGGAGTTTCTTGCCTAGAAACTCTTGGACTCACAAACTGTGAATGTAACTTTTATGTTTAATTCACACATACTTACCATTTGCAGGCACCCTACTCCAATCAGCAGAAACAGGTCAAATCAATCACAAGCTGGGGACTGTTAGTATGTATAGGGGGGAAAAGAGACAACAAATTTGTCTCTTACTCCTTATTGAAAATTGCAAATATACAAAACCTCCTACTTTGTCGTCCTCCAGAAAAAAATAAGAAACAGTATTCAATCATTTTTATAAAGTTAGCACAGAAATAGCTTTTTTGTCTTTTTGGTGGACAAAGGCATAAAACTGCTGATTACAAATCTGGTTTGTTAAAAATGAGATCTTCCAGAAGTTTCATTCCACCTCTACTTCTCCCAAGACATCCTTTTCTGTTTCAAAACACAAGGTACACTTGTAAGTTTATTTTTTTATTTTATTTTTTTTTAAACAATCATGTTCATGCTGCAAGCAGAGTAGAAAGTTAGTCAAAGATGGTCTAACTGAAAATACTACAGTTCAAACAAAAATTATCCCTGCTAGAGTTGAATCTCTAGGTATGAGACATTCTTTTCTTTCCTACCCAAATACATCTGCTCCAGTACATCTGCAGCTTGTTTTGGTAATCTGATCTTTTCTCCCTTCAATGCACACACAAATGATTGTCAAATTTGATGGTCCAAAAGGAAGCACAAGTAACCAACAGAGCAGTCACATAGGCTCTGCAAAATAAACAGTATTTGCCATCCCGCCTTCCAGCTAACAAGCAATCAGTGGTGCCTCCCAAGCATCTTGTCATTATAACACTTCTGAGCACAGGATTGCTCCTGTTTTTGCCATGCAAAGAAATTATCTTAAAGGATGGTTGCTATTTTTAGATGCAGCACTGGAAATTGAGCAAGTCATCTCTGAACCGTGAGCTCATATTACCTTAATGGAGGTGAAGATGTCTGGGATTAGACTCTTTTCAGTGTACTGTCAATTAAAAAAGGTCATTTAAGGAGTTCCTAAACTGCCTCTCATTTACTTGAATTACAACCTTGAGAATAGATTATATAGTACTGCATACCCACAAAAAAAAGCTGTTTGCTTCATTAGATCCACTGTTTATTTTTAATTAAAATACTTGACCTTTTCTTCCTCTGCCATTCCTAACTCTTAAGGTACATCCAGGAATTTTTTTCCTGCCAGTATTCCAGGGAGATTTGACAAGGTTTGAACACATAGGAACTCCAATACACAGCCAAAAGAAAACAAACAAACAAACAAAAACCAACCCATTATGTTTCACATTTCCAATTGTTTTTCCCTTCAATATTTGAGATATGTTGAATCAAGCAAGCACTTCAAGTCTTTGTCCAAAGGAACTCCAAAGGGAGCAATGAGAATCTGAAGCCTTACATAGTAGTCAGGAAGAAAAATAATTCTTTCCTTATTCTGGCTTTTCAAGGCTTATTGCAGAATATTCAGCTCCTTCTTTTGCCTCTGACAACTTGCCCCCACAATTTCTGCTCAGACCAACTATCTGCTTGAGTTACTTAAGACCAGTTACAACGCTCAAAATATAATTAAAATTCATGCTCTGTGGAAAGCCATCCACCAACTTGATGATTAAGTGTTTTTCATGTTTTCATAACTATAATCATAACCACTCCTAGCCCTGGAAAGGATAAATGTCACCAATAAGTCAAAAAGCACATAGCTTTGCTGTTTGTTCACTGCTGCAAGAACTAGAGTCCAGATACGGAATACCATAATTACCAGTGACCCAGACAAACCATTACTTCAGCTAACAGCAGATGCTGTAAGCAACTGAATACTCTCAACTGCAGTCTTTAAAATGTTATCAGTGCTTTAAGGACACAGAACACCTCTTTAGAATTTGGTGAACGTTTATGACAACAGAAACATAAACATACCACGTTGCCTTTGATGTCACTGCCCAAATGTCTGTACTAGTGAAACTTATAAACAATTCAGAGCAAATGAGTTTCAGAACAAGGCATCTGCTTCCTCATTGGCCAGGGAAAAAGAGTTTCAAAGCATTGTAATCCCAGTTAGAAGGGCAACTGCTATGTATCCATCAAAACAGGTTAGAATGCTGAATACAAACACAGGCAGGCATTCATTTAAATGCTACCTATAACATCAAAGGCTCTCTGTAGTTTTCAGTGGCTACTGTTGTCACTAAAGCAAACATATACAGAGTGCTAGTGCTTACTACCTGCAGTTACTTGGCCAACTGAGAACCATTTAATCAGCTTGTGTAAACTAATGTCAGATTCTCACAATTACTTCACCAAGCTAACAACCTGGCTGTTACACTTCATTGCACTAGAATGTACATAATTCCCCTTAAGCCTCTTGTCAGAGGGCAGACCAGCAAAAACTACAGAAATTGCAACATAAGGAAAGAGGCATGAGCTGCCTCACAGGCTGCTCAGAACTACACCAGGGAATTCTCCCCACACTCGGTCATTAATACTGGGCCTACAATTTACTTTTTGGTTTGAATAGTGCCAGGCAAAAGAGCATTTTGAGAACGTAATGCAAAGCTCTAATACTTGAGAAAGCTGCACTTGAGCATTTATGATAGAGTTCCTCTCCAGAAGTAGATTTCTTGAAGAGATACTTTAGAAACAACTGAAGCAGGAAGCTGTTCTACTTATTTAACTCTGTTGCAATCAAACCAAAACAAGTGAGAAAACCTCTACATTCAAGAGTGTTCAGCTTGGTTAGATTTTTACTTCTCAGATTCTAACATCTGCTGTCAAGCATAACATCTTGGCTTTTACCCACACGTCTTGTCACAGCACCTTTGACTTTACACACCACCCTACTGAAACATGAGCACGCTCACCACGAAGCAGCTTGCTTCACTTCAAATACTGCTTCTGTAGAGTTA